TGTGGTTTAATACTGGCCCCAGGGTGTGGTTCAGAAGACCCCAAGTTCCTTACATGGCCCAAGAATACCTTTTGATGGGAGATCGGAAACTGGGGAAGAGGAGGAGAATCACTTTTGTACAGCTCTCTAGCCACTTGTACTTGTAGAGCTGAGCAAGAGAACTGAAAGTCACTCAACTTGGTACACTTTCTTCCCACCCCATTAACAACCTACAGTAGCTATGCTGAGGAGGGGGAAATGCAGTTGCATCATATGACTTTTCTGCCCTTGCAGAATAGTTTCCTGTTGTCTGAGCTATCAAGGATAGTGAGTGGATGGGCTGAATAGGTTTTTTTTAGACATTATAGACTTTCTGATTGTCAAAAGTCCCCTTTTTTTCAATGGGTTGGGTGGAATCACAATAGGCAGAGGCCTGTGAAAACTTACTGTGGTAGTGCCTCCCCTTCCTCAGCCATGTGGCGGTGGGACAAAACTGTAGAGAGGAGCCAGCCAGAGACTCCAGCTAGTAGGAGCAGAAACTGCCAAGACAGGGACCTTTGACCACTCAAACTTTTCTGCAGTTTTGACTGGATTTTTTTCTAGCCTACTGTGTATTGTGGGGCTGTTTGCTCCAGCTGTCTGTCTTCACCTTAGTTTCACTTCAAAGCTTCCCCTCCTATGCTCTTCTTCCTTTCTCAGTCCCACTGAGGCTCCTCTCCAACCTGGTTCAGTTTCCAAGGTTTTGAAACTGGCTCCCCTCACAGACCAGCTCCTCCTCTCACCACGTACTACTGCCTCTGGTACGGAGGCAGCAGCACGGGCTGGCAGAGGGCTCCCTGGGGATGGGGTCAGAGTGCAGTGGCTGCCAGCCCTGCTACCAGGGACTATCAAATAGTTGTGTCTCCAATAAGAATTCTTGCAGTAACGCAACTGTTCAGTTACTCTATACCTAACTTCCCTAGTTTTCAAGCAAAACAAACATCCCCCCCCCCAAAAAAAATATTCAGAAAATAACCAAACAAAAAAGAATCCTATCCCAAACCAATTGAATTAAATTTTCTTAAATAAGTGGTTTTTTAAATTGTACTGAATAAGTCTTTTTGCTTTTGCCTACTGTGGCCTCTGAGTTGCTGAGCAGATCACATACCTTGCAATCTCTGTTAAGAAATTTAGAGAAAAATAGGTGGCCTATTTTATAATTTGCTTGATCCTCAAAAAAAATTGTCATGCTAGGAATTTAATACAGTAAAGTGAAGAAAAATGTATGACAAGAAGCTTAAAAGCCTTGAAGGGAATTGCAGTTCTTTTTAACACTTGATTGGTAGGTGTAGTATAGTATTCAATATCTGAACTCTCATAGTTGTTATCTTAGTTGTATGACAATTACCAGAATCAATCCTTTGTAGGAACTTTGCAAATCTCTTTAGTAATTCAGTTGTTTTATTAATTGCAGGGATTTTGATTTCCTCAGGCTGTTAATGTGCTGGCATACAGAAGGCTAAATATATACTAAAAATGATATATTAGAGAGTTTAATATGGGATGCTTTTGTTTCAGACCTTTTCAGAAACCCCAGTCCTATTATTAGATGTTGAAGGCTTCTGCTAATTCTTTGTTTTGCTACTGAATTTCACATAATATTTTCCTCATACCTTCTTAAACCAACAAAATAGAATGAACAGATTATGGTTTTATGATTTTTTTCTCTCCTTAAAACAATATTCTATTTATAACCTAATATTGTTCTTTTCTACATCCGTAACAGCTAGCCGATGGCGGAGTCTCTTCTCTACACCTGTTTCCTTGGCTTTTCCCTATAGTCCTGTTGCAAGACTCACCCCATATAGCAATGGCTTTAATACTCCCAGCTTCTCTAAAACCACCAATAAAGCAATACTAACACCTGAAAGGCCAGGTAATCCTTAAATTTTTAGTGATCTGTGATGCTTAAAAAATTGCTTTACTAAATCTTATCTCTCGGTACTTTAACAGCAATTCACTAGGATGTACAGGCTGTCAGTGTAATAATGGGATTTCAAGAATTTTAGACCTAAAATTTAATTTAATTTAATTGTAAAATGATCATTTAATGGAGTTCATTCTGTTTTACAGAATGAGTTATAGCAAGGTGGCTTTCCTCATCATAAGCAGAGTTTCACCATAACTAGTTTACCTAACCAAAACGTTTGTGCCCACTTTGTCATCCCCCATGAAAAGAGAGTGAATAAGTGAGAGTTGTTGGGGAAGAGAAGCTTCAGAAGTACATAACTGCATTTCTAAGTGGCCAAAAGAGCAAGTGGTGAAAGGACAGTGTTGTTTCTTTTTCAGTGTAGGGACCAGGAGTAGTTCTTCTACAAAGCTGCATTGGGAGTTGAGGAGATAATCCCTTGGGAATGAGACCTGAACATGTTGCTGGAAGGGTATGATAGCTGCAGGCCAAGGGGATTAGCACCAGAAGGGCATATTGATCTGCACTGGCTTCTCTTCCTAAGATTACCCAAATCATAGTCAGGCTAGTGCAGAGAGCTGGAGAGTGCAGAGGGTCATTGTCACAAGGGCGGTGGCGTGTATTAGTTCTTTTCACTGATGGAAATATGGCGCCTTTTAGAGAGTGACCTCCTACTCTTGCTCTGCATGACTGGATACTGGAGAACCATGTTAGGAATGGGCACCTGTGGTTACACAGTGACAGACAATAGCCCATCTTGTAGCTATGCAGTTGCAGGCAGATGTCCTGTGGGTGACTAAGGCACTGATTCAAGCAGAGAGAATTGATTCAAACACCTACTTTGCTGCTTCAGCTGAAGTAGGCTCCCCTTTGACCCTACTACCTTCTGTCAACTGTAGGCCCTTTGGGTTTTTTTCCCCACTACAGACCTTTGTAGTCTATGTAATAGCTCCCTCTGAGGAAACTACTCAAGAAAATGTGTAAGTTTTGAAATTTAAAATTTTGGGAAATAGGAACAAGAGAAGCTAGTTTGAGGCTGAGAACATAGTAGTGGTGGTGATTGACTATTGTTACAAAGTGGCAAATAAACTAGCTTTGCCCCACAAATCTTACTATGATCTATAAGCTGTGACTACAAAGAGAGTAATAAACCCCCTCACGGACTCTAGCCATGCTGCTCATAGAAATATTGAGTATGCCCCACCACATCATAATCAACTTGTAAACAAAATTAGTGATGTGAGAACCATTCAGAGTTTGTTCTGTGAATGACCACATGTGATTCATGGTGCATTATCCTATAACAGTTTTTTTTTCTCCCCGAAGTGAGTATTGCTTTTCTGAGGGAAAGGACCATGGCCTATTAATGCATTCATCATTTGTGTACATCTTTCTCTTCAGGTGTGCAGTGTATTGCCTCCATCTTTGGAGGAAAAAAGGCTGGCAGGTAGTGCTACTACTGTTCTGTTTTGTTCTGCTGATTATTATTATTTTTTTATTTTTTTTGTTCTGACTAGGGTCAGGCAGCAGACAAAAGGCAGCCACTGTCTGACAAAAATAATACAAAATTATTTCTGCTGATGTTCTTGATTATATAGCTTAGGTAAAGGTGATTGATTGCATCGTTATTCATATTTTCTAATAAAGCAGATTAGTTAAGAATTTGGAAAAAATGTGTGAAAATTTGATGATAATATTCAGTCATCTTGGGCAAAAAATAGTAACAATAATTAAATTAAGACCTACGTACTGCAAACATGTCAATGCATACCTTTCCAGGTTTTTAGGTGTTTACAAGATTGAGTTCAAAGCAAGGAGAAACTATTGCATTTCATGAATGTCTCACAAACACTGAAACATAACTATTTAACAATTACCAATGAGTTGCAAAATTAATTAGATATCGAAGGCCTGATGGGCCTATTTTATATCTCTTGTTTTCCAATATGTATTATAAAAATGCACACAGCATGCTTCTATACCCTCTGCAAAGCATCTTAAAATCAATGTAATGGTTTTTCAGTAGTTTGTGGGATGTTTTCCCCCTTCACTGAGGAGATTTACAAAATAAGCTATGTGTGTGAGATTCCTCTCATTAAACCTTCAAATGTGAAAATGTTTCAATATTCTAAATAGTAACATGGAACAACTTTATAAGTGTTGCGAAGGCCAATTTTTGTTCAATATCTTTTTGTTGCATATAAACTGATAGTATAATTTAATGGATTTTAAAGTGTGGTTGTACTCTGAAAAAGTTAATAAAAATGGCATTGTGCTTGAACTCAGTGATTTCCATGTCAAATGCACTTGATTTATGGGTAAAATAATGTTTATACTTTTTCTTTTCAGCTTTGGAAGCTCATTTTGACTCTGATTAAAGCTGAGTTGATACTGTCTCACACCTCTCTATTTAGTAATAAAAGTTCTGCATGTCAAATCCTCAGTTCCACCCATGCAATCCTATTTCCTGTACACACATGTACATTGGAAATTTAACTAACAGTTCTGCTGATACACAGGAAGAAATAGAATCCAGCTTCCTCTCCCACTGTGAGGTCTGAGGAAGGGAGTGTTGTCCTATGTGTTTGTACACAGTGCACAGTGGGGCTCCGATTGTTATTGCTTTTTGATGCTACTATGATTATAAATAATTCAAAAAACTATAAAATGTAAGTACACAAATATGACTGGGAATCCATTCAAAGAGCCAGTCTGCTGAAGCTGGTGATATATTTATACGATTACTTTTCTGAGTAGAACTACACTTTAAATAGGAAGGCTCAAGTGTTTGATGTGTTTTGGGATAAAAGCTAGTCCAGTCATTCAAACTGCAGAGGGTTAATTGTTCCTTGTCTTTTGTTCTGAAAGTAGGTACAGTAGAGAGATTTGCATTCTATGGTTTTATCTTCACCTTTTTAAGAGCAATAAATTAACTAGCAAAAATGTTAATACAAAGCTTTTTGTAGTATTTCTATAAGCTTTCAATCGTAGAAAAATATTTGGACTGCATACATTTTGGATGACATCGATACTGTACATAATTACTGACTAAATAATCTATTTTATTGTACAGGTTACATTTCCAGAAGTTCTCCTCTCAGTCCCCAGTCATCAATAGACAGTGAACTGAGCACCTCTGAACTGGAAGATGATTCCATCTCCATGGGATATAAACTACAGGACCTCACTGATGTTCAGATCATGGCTCGACTGCAGGAAGAGAGTGAGTGGCTTTAGATGTTTTTTAATCTCTTATTTTAATCCAGCACAGTGTTGGAGTGTTTGTGATTGGGGAGTTGAAGGGGCAACTAAATCATCCCCGTCATGGACAAAATCTGAAGAAAGAAGGAAAATACACCTAATGGATTTTTTATTACCGTGTGAAGTTCTGAAATAGATTGCCCCTTAACCCTAACGTTTGGGATATTCAGAGATGAAGTTGTGGTTGGAGTGCACTGTAGTGATTTATGTCCAAGCCCCAAAGACACAGCATGGTAGGTTTAGATTACAAATTGAACTACAAGAAGTTTAGAAAGTAAGTATAAACTGAGATAGCCTATCTCCTAGAACTGGAAGGGATCTTGAAGGTCATCGAGTCCAGTCTTCTGCCTCCACAGAAGTACCATCCCTGACAATTTTTGCCCCAAATCCCTAAATGGCCTCCGCAAGGATTGAACTCACAACCCTCGGTTTAGCAGGCCAATGCTCAAACCACTGAGCTATCCCTTTCCCGTATCTATTCTGTCTCTATTCAGTCATAACTAATAATAAATTATATGTGAAAAATCATTGTGCGATACATGTAGCATTGTACCACCCCCTATTCTGAGTCAGTCGAGATGGGTAGTTGAAAGAAAGGGAGTTAGAAACAATTAAAAAAAAGAATAAAAAGAGACATTAATTTAGGGAAGAGGTGTGGTGAAAGCCAGGTGGGAGTAATGCTAAAGAATGCTAAATGAGAACATAGGTATCATGTAGAAAACAACACTCAATTAAATCTGATTGGAATGAGCAAGAAAAGGGTGGAGAAAATAGGAGAAAGCAATCACACTTCCAAAATCAGGCCACAGGTAAACATTCTGGAAAAGTTTCAGAGGGGTAGCTGTATTAATCTGTAACTGAATACATTTTAAAAGCAGCACCTTAAAGACTAATAAAAAATGTAGATGGTATCCTGAGCTTTCATGGGCACAACCCACTTCTTCAGATGAATGTTAAGAGGTCCAGGGGACAAATAAATAGCAGAGAAAGAGAAGGGTTTGGAGGAAAAGAGAAGGAAAAATATATTGTCAATCGGAGTGTAAATTAGGCTGATAGAGTGGGTTCTACGAACTCTAAGTACCCGTGCTTACCTTTTTATGTCATTATGGTGTGAATGTAGTGGGTCATCCAGTTAAGGTGTTTGTTTAAACCTCTATTGCAGGTGTCAAAGTTGTAAATTAAATCAAGTTCTGCAGCTTTTCTCTCCAGCTGGTTTTTGAAATTGCCTTGTAATAATATTGTCACTTTTAGATCCATTAGTGAGTGCCTGGGAAAGTTTAAATGTTCCTCAGCAGGTTTCTCTGTGTTACTATTTCAGATATCTGATTTGTGTCTATTAATCCTTGTAGAGACTGTCCCGTTTGGCCAATATACGTGGTAGAAGGACATTGCTGGAACTTGATGGCATATATCAGTCACATTGGTGGATGTGCAATTGTATGAGCCTCTGATATAGTGGCTTATGTGGTTAGATCCTGTGATGATATCGCTTGTATAGATGTGTGGACAGAGTTGGCCACCGGAGTTGATTGCAGGGGTGGGCTTCTGGATGAGTATGATGGAGGTGTGCTGCGTGGTTGCTAGAAAGGATTTGTTTGAGGTTAGGAGAATTTCCTGGCATGCATCATGATACGGAAAAGTTCGAGAGCCACTGCTCCAGAATACTCATTTGGCTACTTCTACACATGTTATTATTCTACTTGTTAACATTATTCCTACGCTATCTTAAAAGCTTAATGATAACCATTTAAAACACTAAAGACCAGATCTTCAAATGGTGGAAAGTTGTAGCCCCATTAACTTGACTGAAACTTTACCAATTTACACTTAGATTTTGACTCTAAGTACAGCTCAGTTACAAATATGGATCATCTACTTTTAAAAAATCATTTTCTTAACATTTATAGGTCTCAGACAAGATTATGCTTCTACTTCAGCATCTATATCAAGACACAGCTCAAGTGTATCTCTGCATTCAGGAAAGAAAGGGACGAGCAGTGATCAGGAATATGATCGCTATAGTCTTGAGGATGAAGAAGAGTTTGATCACTTACCCCCTCCACAGCCCCGACTCACACGCTGCTCACCATTTCAAAGAGGAATTCCACACTCTCAAACTTTTTCCAGTATTCGGGAGTGCAGAAGAAGCCCCACATCACAGTATTTCCCTTCAAGTAATTATCAGCAGCAGTATTATTCTCCTCAAGCCCAAACTCCGGAGCAGCAACCAAATAGGATTAATGGAGGTAGGTTACATGCCTTTCTGATTAGTATTTTTTTTCTTTGTCCGTCTGTGCATTACGAAATTGTAATACTGGTTTAAAGGTCAAATTAAATAAACCAGTGAAATGTGTCCGAATTGCAGCAGTAAAATCTTTCAGTGAATTATTATCACATGATGGTTGATCTTTGTGGACAGAATTATTTCAGGGAGGTTATTGTTAAATTACTTGATACAGAATCTAATTCTTGGCCAAGTCATGAAAATGGTTGTCTAAAACAGTTTTGAAATACTCTAAGTAGAGGCACAAAGCATGAGGTTGAAGGAGATTTTAATGTTCTCTCTTGATTTGATTTCCTCCTCTGTTTCTATTACTCTCTTTCCTTATCTTCTGACTCTGCCTATAATGAAGAACACTATTATTGTTTAAAAGTCTCAGAGGAAAAGCTGTGTTAGTCTGTAACTTGAAAAAACTTAAATAAGTGGTCCCGTAGCACCTTAGGCTATGTCTAGACTATATCCCTCTTTCGAAAGAGAGATGTAAATTAGACATATTGAAATTGCAAATGAAGCTGGTATTTGAATTTCCCATACTTCATTTGCATAATCATGTCATGGCTTTTTTTGAAAAACGCTATTTCGTATAGGCACGGTTCTTTTGAAAAGAAAAGCCTTTTTCAAAAGATCCTCTGTTCCTCAAGAAATGAGTCTTCTAGGATCTTTCAAAAAATGCTTTTCTTTTCAAAAGAACCGTGCCTATACGAAATAGCGTTTTTCAAAAAAAGCCATGACATGATTATGCAAATGAAGTATGGGAAATTCAAATACCAGCTTCATTTGCAATTTCAATATGTCTAATTTACATTTCTCTTTCGAAAGAGGAATGTAATTTAAACGTAACCTTTAGAGACTAACAAAAAGAATTTATATAATATCATGATCTTTCGTGGGCAAAACCCACTTCTTCTGATGAGTGGAGCAAGAGGCCACTTTCTCCACTCATCTGAAGAAGTGGGTTGTGCCCATGAAAACTCATGATACTATTATTGTTGCCATTTGGAATTGCATGGTGTTATCTCATAAGGCTCCACTGCATTCAGCCCTTTGCTCTTCACTCTGAGGGTACGTCTAGACTACCGGGTTTTGTCGACAGAAGTTTTGTCAACAGTATCTGTCGACAAAACTTCTGTCGACAAAGAGCGTCCAGACACATTGAGTGCATAACACCTTCTGTCGACAGGGTTCTGTCGACAGAAGGTCTTATTGCCTGTAGGGTTGCGTCTAGACTACAGGGTTCTGTCGACAAAGCAGTTTGCTTTGTCGACAGAACTCAATGTGTCTGGACGCTCTTTGTCGACAGAAGTTTTGTCGACAGATACTGTTGACAAAACTTCTGTCGACAAAACCCGGTAGTCTAGACGTACCCTGAGTTTCAGGCATTCCAGGGAGCACTGATGACATGAGTTAATAACTGGTGTTTATTATTCCCAAATTGCCAGCAGCTATCACTGTGTTTGTACCATGCCTAAGGCTGATGTCCTACAGAATCTCTGAAGGAGGGTTTTTTGGACATGCCAAAAGATTAAGTTTTGAAATTCCCTATCATTCCCTCTACCTTTTCTTTCTGTCTTGATAATGGTGCTGTTGCATCCCCTCCACTCTGCTTCAAAATAAACTTTGTCCAGTTTCCATTCAGGTTCTTATTTGTAGCATCCGAGGTTATTTCCCTCCCTTGTGCAAGAAAACAAACATTGTGTCCAAAATAGTTATTCATAGAGTGCCACAGGTGCACATGTTGCTTTCCTGACAAATAGCCTGTGACAGGTCTCTGACAAAAGCACTTAAAATTCAAGTTGGATGTGGCACAGGAAGGATAACAGAGAAGTGGGGAGCGTGTAAGAGAAGGATGAGGCTACAACATTATTAAGTGGCCTAGTTGCTTATTTTTGCAACTTAACATATCAGGTTAATTTCAAATTTGATTATTTTTGACAGTTAAGGACTTTCAAGACTATGAGTCAGCATTGAAAGTCTAACATAAACGAGTGACTTAGGAATGGAGAGGAAGTGTGTATGGAATCAGTGATGAATGTGCATGGGCTATAGAGCTATACCCATTGAATATATACGCACCCCAAATCCCTTGGCAGTGTCTGCTTCATGTTCCATGCCAAGGTTAAGGATGCCTTAAACCATTTACTCTTGAGACGCTATAGCAAAGTCTCCTCTATGCCTTCTAGCTAATAAAAGAAAAAGTCACTTGGTGATGCCAGCAATACCATGTAGGTGGTCGTCCTGTCCAAGAGTGCTGACTTGCTGCATGATCTGCTAGGTGCCACTTTGCAAATAAGATACTGCTTCAATCAGTTGTGAAATGCTTTGCTGTCTCAAAGCAGTGTTGATATGTTGAAGCTTGTGTAGTGTTGAATTCTGTCTCCTGTTTCAGGTGGTATATCCTTCAGCATATGACTCTTAAATAAGTGAGTAAATATCTGTTCTGAGAGGTTTTCAGCTTTTAATTGTTTTCTGTTAAAAGGTATAATGTTATCTGTCTTCCTTCGTAAATTGATTTGAAATACAAAGCTGAAAAGCAAAATATAAGAGTTAAATAGTAGTGTAGTGGCCATATATCTCCATCAGCCTTTCTCAAAATCCTGTCTATGATTTCATTCTCTTTCCAGCACTCCAAGTTTTTGAAATTCAAGCAGTGGGCCAAATAAGCATTTGTCAGGGTCAAACCAGTATTAGACATAGTCTGTAGCATGTTGTCACTTACTGGATACCATGGATATTGGGAGAGTGCGATGTAAGGGAGGAAAACACTGGCAAACTAAGCTGCGTGTGGTAGATCCAGCACTGCACATAATTTATCAAAACTGAATTAGCAGTGTGCTATGTAGCAGCAGGTCAGCAAAGTTTCCTTCCTTCCCTTTGCCTGAAGCAGCATGGCTGGTGCTCTTACACATGAAGTCAGCAGACTAGCTGCTGGCTTACAAGGCTAGCAGCTGAGCTAACTAGCAAAGGGAAACTGCAGTGCTGCCTGCAGAACTTGAGATTGCATTTCTCAAGAATTACCTGTGATTTGGCACTTTCAGTTTGGGAATGCACATGCTGTTGTGGCTTTCAAGTCCTTGCCAGATACATAAGGAGGACAGTAAATCCACCAGTAGCATTATATTCAGTTTGACATTCCACGAGATAACTGTAGGAAGACTAATGGCATTTAGCCTCCAATCCAGTGGTTTAGCAGGAGTTTGGCTGGGTCTTCAGCCTTCGCCAGGAGAAGACTGTTGGTGGCAGCAAGCAGTGATGCTGCTGTTTTTCAATGGAACTGCCTCTTTCTCTCTCTAAATTAGTACATTTTGATCTGTTAATGTATCATTGAAAGACAAAAAATTGAAAGACACAGGAGTAAAGGAATACTCTTCAGGGTCTGTTTTAATTAATCCAGTAATTTATGCTATGAAGATAATTGCTGTGTGTCTGATAATGTACCAAAGCTCTGTACACAAAGGCAGGTGGTGGACAGAACTATTTGCAAGTGAACAGCTGCTTAATTTGTGTACCTGCTTTAATTCTGCATTTCATGAAGTCTTTTAAAACTGAGTAATGAAAACTCTGAAAAAGTTTGTGATTAACAACTTAAAGAGCTGCTAACTTATTAATGACAATAATGTTTTAAATTTGGTTTCTCATACGCCCTGTAATCAACACTTGAATCATCATGTTTAAAAAGAGTAAACTGGTGTCCATTTCACATTGTTCAATAAATAGAAATCACTTTGTTATGACACAAATGTGAGGTTTATGTGTCTATGTTGAACTTGGGTATTCTTCCTGGGCTATTTTAATTTTCATGCTCTTCATCTCATCTTGTTTTCTTCTGTCCCTGCCCCTGTCCAGACCCTCCCACGAGTACCCTGTCCCCTGCCCGCACCAGCACTGTCCCCAGCATACAGCAGCACCCTGTACCTGGCCCCAGCACCCAGCAGCACCCTGTCGCCAGCCCCAGCACCCTGACACTCACCCCAGCACCCTGTCATCCATCCTAGCACCCAGCAGCACCCTGTCCCTGGCCCCAGTCCCAGCCCCCTGCCACCCACCCCAGCACCCAGCAGCACCCTGTTCCTTGTCCCAGAACCCTACCACCCACCCCAGTGCCCAGCAGGACCATGTCCCTGACCACAGCATCCTGCCCTAGCACCCCACCACCTGTGCCAGCATCCTGCCACCCAGCAGCATCCTCTCCCTGGCCCCAGCACCAACTAGCACCCTGTCCCTTGCCCCCACCAGCACAGTTGGGACCACATTAGTGAGGCTTGGGAGTTTTGGAGGTTTTTTTTTTTAAAAGCATTTCACTTGTGTGGCCCCAACTGACTTTTCTGTGGGTCAGTGACCCTTGACTCAAAACACTTCTGTGAGTCAGTGACCCTCGACTCAAAACAGGTTCCCCGCCCCTCTTGTAAATAATGACAATGCCAAAAAGCTTTTGAGTTTGACATCATATTTTATTTCAAAATGAAGCCTGGCCAACAAGCCCCCCTTTGGGACCAAACCCCCATCTCACTGCAGCATCATAAGACTTCTGCACCACCTGACCCCAAATCTGAGCCTATCATACACTGGAGCCCCCTGTTCTGAGCCTCTCTCATCCCCAAAGTCCTGCATCCCCACATCCTCAGTCTTCTGCCACAACACTCCTGCACCATCCACACACCACAAATCTTTGTCCTGAGCCTATCATACTCACAACCTCCTTGCTCTGAGCCCCTCACATTCCCCCAACCCAAACTCCTGCAGCCTCACATCCACAAGCCTGTGGCTTGCTCA